TGTATTTAACTAAATTTTTAGATACTTTAACAAAATCGTTTTTTTCCGTGTGATACTGATTATATTCAAGCTATCCTTATATGCAATTGTTCTATATATTTTTTTTAAATAAATCAATGTAGCACATTACATATATCATTTAAAGCAAATCTTTAACAATATCGATATTTATATATATTTTATATAAGTTTAACATGTGATGTTTAATTATAAATTAATTAATATAGTCGCGAGATAATTTCATTGTTTATATATAAAATCTGTATGTGTGTGACTATTTTGTATTCAAAATGTTAACAAGCAAGATATTACGCGGTTCTGCTAGGTTTTTGCATTTCACCTTTGTACAACCGCGTGTACACATATGTATGTACAGTAGTACATATGCTTTTCGGAAGTATGGCGTACAAGGAGAGTGCATCCGAGTGAAACTTGAGGCTGCATAAAGAAAGGTTAGAGACTTCTAGGTATTATTTTCAAACGGATACGACAAACACGGATAGTTCCGCAAAAAACATGTCGTAAAAGATGCATTCTGTAGAAGGGACATTCGTACAGTTGCAATAAATTTCCCTAGAATTACGGTGTCGCAAAAAGACAAGATAAACCACTGCGCGATGAAAATAGCAGAGATAAAATTTTTGTAATTCCGGAAGTTGCATATCAAAATTTACGGACTATGATATAATAAGCATGCTGTGAGTGCATCATACGTCCGTATAAAGCATAATATATAATGTCAAAAGACAGATTTTAATTATAAAAAATTTGCTCTGATATTGTTATCGTTAAAATACTTTTAACTAACTATCTAAAATTTAAAAAGTATCAAAACAGCGATATTTATTCTCAATAAATCATAGCTTCTTTGTCTTTATCCAATGTTTGTTCATATTTTAACACTATGATGTGCTCAAATATTTTCTTATGATCTTCTTTCGTGAATAATTTAAAGGAAAACTCCATATATTGACGGAAGAATAAAATTTCAAAAAAGTACTTTTTCTAGGGCACGATTTTAGAGCACATCTTTATCCACGTAAATCGTCTGTATGCAGTTTCGTTTTGCTAAATGATTATGCGAGCATGAATGAGTTTGCAAGCGTCTTTGCGAATGTACATAACATCAGCTGACATTAATGCACACCGGGCGGTATTACGGTTAGCAAGGTACATCCATCGGCAATTACATACGTCCAACAAAGTGACCAGCATTTATCCTACAGTGCGAGAGTACCTATATAGATCGTCTGGTCACCTGTTCCGGACATGTCGACAAGAACGAAGAAGAATCGAGACAAAGAGAAAGGAGAAGACGTACGTGTCTGGATATGTGATGCAAGAAGCATTGGAAGCAACAGGAACGATGGTGGGTGATTTCACACAAGTGAAAATGGAAACCGTGGATCGGTTGTTCGAATGTGGCACGTACACCATCACATGTGATTAGTAATAAAGTGACACGATTGATCAATTCAATAGCTTGGCATCGGCTTTCGATATATCCTTTCTTAGCGAAAGAACGAATATTAATTTATAAATGGTAATATAATCCGATTTCCATTCTGCTTATTCATTTTCTCTTACTTTCCATATGTAAGGTAAGCGCTACTTTCAATTTTTAAAAGCTGATGTAAAATAGATGATAAAATGATATTTATTGAAATTGTATTGTATGCAAGGTGATAGATGATGAATTTCATACAGATATGAATATAAATGTAATTACATATATGATAATACGAAGATTTGAAGATGTCGTGAAATGTATTATAAATGCAAGTCAACGGATAATAAGGACCTATTTACATTCATCGTGCAATATATTTTCCTCCACATAGACTACCGACCTGTACATTACTCTGCCGAAGTGTTAAGAAGAGATATACCGGAAAGTCGAATTGTGCTTACCCTTACATTTGAACTTGTCGTCCCGCATCGAATCGATCTTCCGTTTCTGTGCTCTTTTTGGCGTTTCGCATTTAGCGCCGGATGTCTCTATAGGATGCGCGTGAAGATACGCGCTCAGCCAGCGTAGATTGCAATCGCAGATGAACGGATTCCTCGCCAAATGTCTGCGAAAAAAAGAATTATTGACTGCAGATTCTTTAAAATGTGTAAAATGATATGGAATATCTTCTTTATTAATTGCTTTAACAAACAAATTTTTCATCTAAATTAAGAAATAAGAACTTATGTAGTTTTGTATAATACGAACAGTGTTTTAATGCTCCGCAGGTTGGCAAAAGTCCCATTAGCTAACGAACGTATATTGTTGTCGTACAAAGACAGCAAGGTGAGACTGGTTAAGTCTTTGAACAGGTCTGTTCGTATGCATGATATCTCATTGGCATTCAGTAACCTGAAACAATAAGTTTCGCCATAATTTCCAACAGTTGCCTCGTTGCAATGCTTCACGGGAAAGCGAGAACAATACATGAAACCATGAATAAAAACATTTTCTTTAGTGGTTCTAATATGAATTATTAATTCTCGCCTTCTTAAAGTCGACCTCGCATGCAATAGAAAATTATATCCATTTCAATTTATTAACTTTAATAAAACTGACTTTCGTGCAATTCGTTTTAGTTTTAAATCCTATTCATTAAATTTATAATCTTCTCTCTTTTTTCTTTATGTACTCACAATAATTGCAGATTTGTAAGACCTTGGAAAAGACCAGCTGGTAGCTCAGTGATTTTGTTGCCATATAGAACTCTGCAACCAAATATATTTTTATCGTTGTGATAAAATAGAATAGAATGTTTTTTTAAAATAGAATAGAATGTTATTCAAAATGTATCAGTAAAGAGAAAAAGATACATACAGCGATTCGAGGGACTTCAATCCGTGGAAAGCATCTGCTGCTACCTTTTTTATTTGGTTGTTGCTCAGGTCACTGCGGGCGAAAAACCGGAAACATATAAAAGTATTAAATGTTGCGGTCGACATGCGCAAAAGCGATCTGTATATATGTATGTATTAAAATAAGTCAATCACAAACATCACTCACATTCTTCGCAATTTCCTATATGGCGAGAAAGCCTTTGGTGGAATTTCCGTAATGCCGTTTTGTTCCAACCGCCTGCAGGCAGTTAACATAGAAAAACAAATTATACAAATAAGTTAGCGAATCTGCACATTTGTGCTAGGTAGTAGCCGTTTCGTAAAGCTGCAAGGCTATTGATTGTTTTATACTCGTTTGCATTATACTATTTCGTGTATTTCACTCTCCTCTCTCTACCGTTTTCCATGCAAATAAATATATTATTCTGTGTTTCATGTATTATATTATTAATCTTGACAAATTTTATAAAATTATTTGATTTTCTCGGCTTTACATAGGATTATCTTAAAAAAATTAGTAATAAAATCGCGAATTAATTTTATAAATAAAATTAATTTAAATAAAAATTTAAATTTAAAAAAACATAAATAAATATTAATTTGTTGTGCAACTACAAGTACCAAATATAAGGGAAGAAATAAAGTATACTTGAGAGAACAACGTACAGCTCAATTCGCGTTATTGATAATACGTGTGTGTGTGTGTGTGTGTGTGTGTGTGTGTGTGTGTGTGTGTGTGTGTGTGTGTGTGTGTGTGATGCGCGTGTATACGTATTAAACGGGAAATAAATCTCAGATGAAGAACAGATACACAATGCGCGAACATGGCGCGCGACAGTTTTACTTACAACTCTGTGGTATCCTCGGGAAGGTGAGTTGGTACTTTCGTCAAGGAGTTCTCTCTGCAATCGACGATCCCATCAGCGCATTTACAAGGATGCGGGCATTGGGGCTCAGCGCTGCATTCCGATCCCGTTCGCTCGACCAGGCCCGAACATTTGAACTCGTGCTCCTGCAAACAATGGGTAGGTTTAGAAGTCGTATTAGGCACGAAGTGGGTTAATGAGAAACGATATCGATAAAATTAACGATCACAGAAATGTTCTATAGAAACCTTTTTTTCTCAATGTTTGGTTAACAATTGAAATAATATTGTATCTACATGGAGGAAAATGTAAAATAATTAATATGTACTAGAATTCTCATAAAATGGAATTAGTAAGTTTATATGAAGACAGGCGCTTATATAAAATAAATTTTTATACTTATATACGTAAAATAAAATTTATTTTATTTTTCTGATAAATAAGCGATCGTAATAACCATACTATAAGATATTTTTTACATTTCGTAAAATAAACTTTGAGAGTTATTCGTGTTCAGTCTTAAAAATAATATAATTTAGTTTACTGTAAGATAATTATCACTTAAATAAATTTACTATAATCTAATGCACTTATTACTTTACACCTCTGATATTTCTACTTTCAGACAAGTAAAGTTTGTAAGTACGGCAAAAATAGTCACAATATTTTTTACTAATCTTGTAAAGTAAAAATTACTCAATCATTTTTCTCCGTATATTAAAAGCTCTAAACTACATTTTATATGTGTACACACAAACATAATTTAATAAGAACATATTTCTAATTTATGTTTATAAATAAGACTTGATATATTTATGCATTACATAAACGTACATAGATTCTGATAAGAAATAAACTTTTGTGGGTTTTGCAAACTGGAATTCAATAGATGGTAACATAACTCTAATCAGACTCACTTGCACATCGGCGAGATTACGATCCTTAAGATGAGCCGGAGATGCACATCGTGTATGTTGCCCTAGGCGAGGATAAGTCTTCAAATGACGCGATAACCATGCTAAATGGCAATCGCAAGCGAATGCGTTATCCGCAAGCTTCAAAGTTCGCAAATGCGACAAGCCGTTCAACATCTCCTTGCCGAGCGTTATAAGTTTGTTATTATTCAGCATTCTAAAATGAATAATTGATTTGACAAGTTTCTATTCTCTCTCGCATAAATTCTCTCATTAATTTTGATGGAAAACGTATAATTTAAATACATAACTTAACAAATTCGTGTACTTACAATATTTCCAAATCTTTCAATTCTCGTATCGAAGCCTCATCCACACAAGTCAATACATTATTGTCAAGTAATCTATAAGGAAAAAACGTAAAATTTTAATAAAATATTTAATTTTTTTCTCAAACTTCTCACATAAATAAAATAATATGAAAGAGAGATAAATTACACATTTCAGAAAAATATTACGTTACGTTTTGACTAGAGTTGACTGATCATATAATATTTTACTACTTAAACTGATAGGTGACGTAAAAAAATATAGGATAATTATAATACACGTTATAGTAGATTTGAAATACTATCTCAACCCATGAGTTTTATCTAAAATTTTATCAGAGCTTTATCTGTAACGCGAGTAGAGTTGTCATATGTAAAACAACTTGAGCATAGTTTATAATGAGCTACTAGACTGTGACTAAATGGTCTCGAGAGAGATTGTTACGGAACAATCTGTCTTTGTGGCAAGCACATCCGATAAGATACTTACAAATGTCTGAGAGCGGACACTCCTCTGAGAGTCTTCGGTCCTATGGTGGCAATCTGATTGTGGCTAAGATCTCTGTAAAATAGAATATAATATTTATTTAAAAATATCTGATTACGATTTGTCAAATAGTTATTTTTATAGTTTATTTTTAACAATCGTAATTACTACCTTAAAAATTAATATAATTCATAAAATAATGTATTATATGTAATATAACTAAAAAAGGTTCAAATATAGACAACCCGAAAGATATAATTTCATTACGTTCAATTTTTTAAAATTTATTAAAGATACTTTTAAATTTTTTTTAGAGAGAAACTTATTCTGCTTTTTTTCTTCAATTTCCAAATTAATATTTTAAAAGAGAAATTAGATTTATGTTAAATAACATATCTTATATTATAGAAAATACTTTTATTCGAAAATACATCAGTTATTATTTAAAATATATATAATGATATGATATTTATTAGTCCAATTTAGAATAAATCAAATCAAATTTTTCAATGAGTCCAATTCAATTCCAAGCGAATCAAATTGAATTTTCCAATAGTATTCAAGATCGACAGTGTCCCAATTTTTCACATATGCAATTGTTGCAATCGTATATTCGAAAATTATCAGAGCCCATCGGCGTCACGCTAGAAGGCGCGTTAATTCGCGATTGTCCATTCACCTCTCAGCTTTTACGCTCTCAAAGGCGGATGACCATGTCCACCATTACCGGTGCAACACCCGCTCGTTCCACTTTATTGCGGCTGTAGTCGCGAGTTCGTCCTACATTTTCGATCAATTATTCAAGAGCGTCGAATGCCGCGGCAAGTACCTCTTCGACGTGCACGATTATCCTCCAGAAAGTTGTCGCTTGTGCGTGTGACCGGTCATGTGTATACCAGACCATCACGTGAGTGGCCATAGACTTCGCAAGTACTTACTCTTCATCGCGGTCGGGATCGTTATTCACGTAACGAGTGACCATTTCTACGGTCTCACGCGACAGTGGCTGCTTACGAATTATCTTAACGTATTTCATAGTCGGAATACTTGAAGCTCGAAGCTTGTTTCGAGCTACATCAAAATCAATTCGCGACGATGTCTTAAAAATGTCTTTACTGTGACTTAAAAAATGTTTTAAATTCTTAATTCTTAAAAATTTATTGTGTACATATCATTTACTGGTTATTCTTTTTTTCAAGATATCAAAATTGTAATATTTTTTTGTATACATCTAATTAAACAATATTTTAAAAGTATATCAAGTGACATCTTATCATGTATATCAAAATGATAATAACATATGTATATATTATTCTATCTATGCTCTTCGTACGTGAGGAAGTATATAATATTATATAATTAAATAATGAAAAAATAAGAGTTAGCAAATAATTGAATCATCTCCCATTGATATGGAAAGACACCTTGGAATGATCGAGGGTTAGACAAATGGCGCGGTTGAAACCCCTTGAAAAGCGTGCGGATACCATGGAACCTTGAAACCTCTTCTCGAGGTCTGAGTTAACCAAAGGCTTGTGATGATAGGTTGGGGTCTCGGAGTACGGCTCGCCATTGACTATCCATTGGCTTGGAACTCGCAATCTGTAATTATGTTCGCGAAGGAACGTGAGGGGAGCGTGGTGGACGAGAGAAGAACAACAAAAACGCGAAACGGAGAACGAGATAGAGAGCGAAGAGAAAGAGAGAAAGACAACGAGGGATGTAAGGTGAGAGTGCGAGACTGGGAGATTGAACTCCCAGTTCGCTCGAGCCAATCCAGAAAGTAATTACCGAATTTCGACGCGCGGCCACGTCTGCACCGAACGCACAAAGGGAACTCGCGTCATTCGCGTTCGAGTTGGTCGGCGCGAAATATTATTGTCCCCGTAGAATTTGATCGTGCCATCGAATAAACGTTTGTCACACGCCGCGCAATAAAAGTTCATCTCTCTAGAGTACTTTCGCAGAACTATGAAACAAATTAAAAAACTGTTTTATAACTATCGATTATTGATCAGAAACTTTATACTTGACACTATATCTATTTGTTACTTGTAACAAAATTCTTAAAAATTATTTCATGAGTACATCTGTTAATAAAATTAGATTAATTTCATCCTATATAAATTTAATAAATTGGATGTGCAACAAGAAACGTGAAAAGCATGAGACTGAGTAAGCTGAAATTGAGTACTTTCACATACAGGGAAATTTGAGATATTTAATTCCCACTGCGTCGGATCCAATCGTAAAAGCAATTTCCGAATTTCCAAGTGCCTACGTTGATTCGACAAAAGGAATAGCTAAAGCTTATTTTGAAATATCGTTCATTATCTCAAGTGATTGATTATGAAAATCAACGCGAATTCTTATTGCAATATAAAAATAAAATAAGTAGAAAAGCGTGCTGAAAATTTAATTAAACGTAAATTAATTCTTGACTGTAATTAATTGTATAATAATATTTTACAATAATATTATTATTGCAAATAATTTTAACAAAAATAATACAATATATAAATAATTATTTAATTAATAAAAAATAAAATACATAAAAGTATGAAGTAAAATGAAAATAAGAAATTATGAAATTAATAAAACATCGCACATTAAGAGAAAATAATGATTATATTTTTCATAATTTAATTATAATTTACAATCGTTTTTTGGAGCAATTAAGTATTTATGATTGTTTTAATCATGCAAATATAATCAATTGTGCTAATAGTCTCATACACACACACACACACACACACACACACACACAC